TGAAATGTCACATAATGGTGTGAATGTTGTAGCTTTCCATTATGTACTGCGGCTGTGAATCAAAGAACTGTTTTTCTCTCAATGATGAATGTCATGTGACACCTGTGTGTTAGTCAGTGTAATTCCTCACGACCATCTATCTTTACAGATAACCATGCAGACATGATGGACATGGATGTGGATGTGGAGATCCCTCAGAATAAAGCCATGGTGCTGAGAGGTCACGAGTCGGAGGTCTTCATCTGCGCCTGGAACCCTGTCACTGACCTCTTGGCCTCAGGGTGAGTCCAGCTGACCTCTCTGACCTCAAGAAGGATTTCTGATGCTGTTATGAGTCTGTACGACTCGCACTGGAACCATTGATTTTTCTCTATTGTGAAATGGCTTGAACTGCATCAAATGCTTTTCTGAAATAACATGATAGACATAAATGTTGGGGCTCAAATATTCAATAATTATTGTAATATTTTATTTTTCATTAATTTTATTTTTTATTAATTTTGTTATTTTATTTGTATTAATTATATTTTATTAATTTATTTTTTATTAATTATTTTATTCATTTTTTAAATTAATTTTATTTTTTATTCATTTTGATTTTAATTATTTTGTATTAATTTATTTGTATTAATTATATTTTATTTTTTATTAATTTTGTTATTTTATTTTATTTTTATTTTATTCATTTATTTTTATTTATAAATTTTATTATATTTTATTTATTTTTATTAAGGATATTTTTTATTAATTTTGATTTTAAAACATTTTTTTATTTAATATTTTATTGTTTTTAATGTTGTAATATTGTACTATTTTTTTTTTTAAAGCAGCATTTTAAGTACATTATTTTTAAATGTTGATTTATAATTCATAATATAAGTAAAAAAATAAAATAAAAAAAAAGACACTACAAGCAGGACACTGTTTGGTTTTACAGTAGTGGAAAGAAAACAGCCAAAATACACATTTAAGTGTTTATTTTATTGCACTTTGTGTATTTGTGTGTGTGTATGCAAAAATGTGTGCATATTTAATTAGATCTTAAACTTAACATTCCAGAAAACTTGTTATACAAAAAAATGATCAATTCTTAATGTAATCAATCGATCGGGAAATACGGTGATGTTTATTGCATTATTTGTCTGGTTTATCTGGCAGCTCTGGCGACTCGACGGCACGCATATGGAACCTGATTGAGAACAGCAGCAGCGGCTCGACTCAGCTGGTCCTGCGGCACTGCATCCGAGAGGGAGGTCAGGATGTTCCCAGCAACAAAGACGTGACCTCGCTAGACTGGAACGTGAGTGCGCTGCTAAACATTCAATCCGGGGCCGCAAGACGCTTAAAACGACCTAAAACCAGACAAAACAAGCTTTTAAATGAGCTACAACAACTAAAAATCTAGATCTATCTATCTATCCATCCATCCATCCAAATAAAAATCAATAAAACTGGCATAATGTTTCTTATTTTAATTCGTCCCTCAACAACTCTCACTTCTATTTAAGAACCAGGATAGCCTGGAAACATGAATTTTAAAAGTATGAATATGAAATTTAAAAGTGAGATTTCCAGACCTGGAAATTTTTGGAAAATTAATTTAAAAAAATCTTGGAAATTAATAAAATCTTAAGAAATCATGGAAGTTTCAATAATGAATATACATTGCTCTAGTTTTGTCAAGCTTTAAAATATTTTGAATAGAAATCCATGAGAAATTGCCATTACTGAGATATTTAAAAAAAAGTTATCCAAGTGAAAAAAAGTCACATGAATGAATGAATAAATAAATTCATCCCTGAAGATCATTCTGTTCTTTAACTTAACTTTTTAATAGTGCTATAAAAATTTTGGTTCTTCAATCTTCTGAAATGACAGAATTTATACATGAATTTATTTTATATTATATTTATATATTTGTGTTTAGTTTATATATATATATATATATA